ATTTTTATTTTTATTTTTGTGTCATTCAAGGCATATAGTTAAGATGGCAATACAGAGACATAAAGTCAAGTCAGAAAGGCATACAAATCTTGAAGTAAAGTAAATAAATGAAGAACATGCTCTAAATTTGTAAAGAAAATAAAGCTTAACACTCTGCAAACGGAACAACCATGAGAGAACACAACAAACAGCAGAGACCGAAAGGTCTGGTCATCATCATTGTAACCGCTCCAAAGTTACAACTACAAGGCACTCCAACACCCAAAAAACCCGCACAAGATCAAATTAAGAAGAAAAAGATTAAATCGAGGTGGGGAAAACCATAACTGACCTAAACCAGAGATCTAATCGGAGAAAATAATACATCCGCCCATGTGATTCGAAAACGAATCGAACAAGAAGAGATCTAGCTAAAGAAAATACAAAAAAAGCGAAGCAAAAAGATATTTACAAAATATACTTATTAAAACACGCTGAGTTTATTACAACGGTGAGAGGCGGCCTACATTTTCTCACTAAAAAGATGAAGCTGGCTGTTAGAGGGAGAAAGTTAGAGAGAGGTGGTAGAGAAAGCTGGGGCGGCTGAGATTTCCCAATATATATAGATTTGACTCATGCAACTTTCTTGACTGATTTCACTTTGGCTCTTTATGAATTAAGTCAAGTCACTATCATCATCATGGAAAGGAAATCAGCTATCTTCCTAAGTTTTCATGAGTGCAAGAGGAAGAAAAATGAATTATTTTGGATAAAAACAGCAGAAGATATATATATATATATATATATATATATAGAATTTGATTAATGAGGAGAAAAATCATATAGTTTACAGGGTATTATAAGCGTTTGTTACGCAGCTCTAATTGAAGCAAAAATATTGCATATGAAAAGAAGCGATTGATAGTAGTGAAAGAAAAACTTTATTGTAATAAATTTTAATTTTTCGATAAACATGTTACGTGCATGTTGGACTAAATTTTCATTTTGAATGCATATTGTGTGATAAATTACCCGTTTAGAAGAGATTTATTTACTTGAAGGGTGATCATTGAGATATAAGCATATTTAAGAAAAAAAAAAAAAAAAAAAAAAGAATTGAACAAAAAGAATTTAGCTTAATCTTGTTGAAGAGGAAATGTTTACTCCATGTGAATGTAAAGATAAAATTTTGCTTGCAACATAGTGGGATTGGCCTTCACACTTTTGCCTAGTCTTTATTGCACGATTTCTGTGGGTGGAAGTTGGCAAGGGTGCAAGACACTAAACGGATTATTACATTGGTAAGTTATAGGGTATCATGATCCAACATCATTTAAGGAAGGAGACGTGATATATATATAAGTTTATCACCCTTTTATGACACAATGCGTTTTAAAGCGTGATAACTCTGAACCTATCAGAACTCTAGAGTTATGCGTGTTTAACCTGGAGTAGTAGGATCAGGATGGGTGACATGGGGCGGACCTAGAACTTTAGGTAAGGGGGGCAAAACTAAAATTTTGTAATAATTTCAGGGGGGCATTAGCAATATTTTAAGAATATATATCGTAAAAAGGAAAAAATAACATGGTATATTAGTAAAAAAAAAATAAAAAATTCAAGGGAGCACCAGAAGTCAACAATATTGTGTCAGGTAAAATGACCAAAAGCCAACAATATTGTGTCAGGTACAGTGACAACTGTTACAAAAGGTGTCATAGTCGGAGCCCAGCCAAAAGTGTGGCCAACAAGAACGTTGGCCCCATGGGGAGAGATTGTAACGACATTCGTATGTGGGTGTAATGTGGGTGGATGCAAGACATTAAATGAGCTACCATACTAGCAATCAATAGGGTATCATGATCCCACATTCCTAAAAGAGGAGATCGACGTGCTATATGTTGGTTCATCACTTTTTTATAATACAACGCATTTTAAAGTCACCTATCAAAACTCCGAAGTTAGAGGAGCCAAAAATGAATAATATTTTATTAAATAAAGTGAGGGACATTACATTCCACGAAAGCATCCATCACTATCCATGCTTGGTTTTTTTATTTTCTTTTAACTATTAAGTGATGTTAATTGCATGTTCTTTTCTCAACAACTTTATAGTAATGAAGGAAAATGAAGATAATTTGTCCGCTTAAAGTAAGTAATTAAATAAATAAGAGACAAAAAGGAGCAGAAATACATTAATAAATATAATTACATTCTCATTTGGGAAGTAATGCTCAATTTAAGAAAAATTAATGATCACATTTTAAGAAGTTTTTAACCTTTTGCCTTTCATTTCTTTTCCCCTACAGCTTTCTAAGATTATATAAAAATACCATTATTTTGGGGAATTTGACTTATCATAATTTGCGTAGAAATTACATAAATCGATATATAAATGCTTCCAATTGGTTATTGCTTCTGCTTCCAATTCAATTGACTGTGTGAACGAAGAGTTACTTCCTTCGTATACAGAATACAGTGTGTGTTCATGTGAGTGTATTTTATTGGAAATTTTGAATATATATATATCAATTATTGTCTGTTGACTAACAACATACTTCTTAATTAAGTTCTGTAAATTATGGAGTAGATGAATTTTGAGTTATAAAAACATCAAATGAACACTATATTATTAGACATGCATGCAAATATGTATATGAATATATATATAGAGAGATATATAAAGACAAGCTACGCAGGTTAATTTTTCATCCAACCAATAATTTCTAGTGTTTCAAGACAGGAATAAAAAGCGATAAAAAAAATATAATAAAAATTAATTGGGTAATGGTATATTATATATTTAACTAGCATAACACCACAATTGTGGTCCTAGCAATGTGAAGGACCGAAAGAGATTCAAACAAAGTGTTGCATGTGAAATATGGACACTAAAATACAATTCATTTTATCCCTTGTCGTCGTTTAATCTTGTAATTTGAATGGCTCACATATACTCCGTTTTTTTTCTGTGTATCAGAAACAGGCTGTGATAGATACCTTATGAAAAAGTACTGTACATATAGACATAATAAATTTAATTATGTCACTTTCTTAGGGTCCATTCAATCAAAAGAAATGGATCCATGCACTAAATCAAGATATTCATCAACAATTTTACTTAGCTCATTGAGTATTCTCGACTTACTAATTAAATGAGTAGGATTTGAATTGTAACTTTAAGTTTATAGTTTGAATAATGATAGGCTCTACTTATATTTGCAATATGTCTCCAGGGGCATAGCGACGTTAACAGAGATCGGGAGTTAAGTTCTTGGAATTTCGCTTTCGAATCTCACTTTTGACTTGAATGGTGCATGTGTTATAGGGTAGATATACGGGTGAGAAAAAGATAAAAAATAAAAATAATAAAATTACTTGCATAAAATGTTATACCACTTAAAAAACAAATCATATTGTATTTAAACCTTTGTCCGTTTGCCCCTATACAAGTTTGGGATCGTCCTAATGGAGTTTGGGGGAGGGAGTTAAAACCCCTCAAAGCCCTGAATCAGCCCATATTAATAATTAACATATAAATAAATATTTTTTATTAGTTGTAATTTTTTTTAATTTTTTTATGATAATTTTAAATTATTCAAACATTTTGTTATTAATTATGATTGTTAAATATTTGACTAAACTCATTTTTTTTTTTTTTTTTTTCACAAAATTTATCTTAAATTTGTTTAATTTTGTATTGTTTTTCTTACTTCTTCCATCTCATAAAAAATGTCTACCTTTCCATTTTTAGTTGTTCCAAAATAATTATCCAATTTCAAGATTCAATGTACTATTTTTTTAATATTACAAATTTACCCACCTTGCCTTAAACTTATAAAAGCAACTAAATTTGATAAGATCTCATATTGACTCACCATTGAAGGTTAGGGGTGCAACTTGGGTTGGGCAACTCGAACTCAACTTGACCCGAGCTCGATTTTTCGAGGGTTTGGGCAATCATTTTTACAATTAAAGTTAGACCTGGATTGAAAATTTTAAACCCAAATTTAATTAGGATTAATGAGCTTGGTTTAAGTTGCTAACCACCCGAGCTAACCCGAACCTGAATTATAATATTATTTTCATATACATTTTTAATTTTAAGTACATTATATATAATATTTAAATTATGATTACTCTTTTACTTTTCAACTTTGTTTGTCAAATCTTAACTTATTATATGTTAACATTTAGGAGAATTAATTATTAAGAATTTGTTTGTAATTATTAAAAATTTACAAAAATATTTAAATTTTTTCTTGTTTAATAGTAATTTAATCAAAAACTAATCCAAAATCATATATTTTTGGTGTGAAGATTAGCCACATGAGTAACCCCGAATTAACCCGAAATTTTAATTCGAAATCTAAGCCCGAGTTGCGAACCCGAATTTAAAAGTAGAAGGACGAGTTGGGATCGGGTTAAGTAGTTAGAGTTGAAGATAAGATTAAGATTGAACTTAAGTTTAATATTTCATACAGTGGGTTGGGTTCAAGTTATATCTCAAATTCGTCTGGTTTGTAACCTTATCAGGAGTGTATAAAAAAAACTCATTACACGCTACTATAATGTAAATAAATGAATAAATAAAATATTAAAACTACACTCTTAACAGGTTCCTAAAAAAGAACACTTTTTATGACGGAGGGATTATATTTGGTTCAAACATGGTGTAGCATTTTTATCTAAAACCAAAGTCATTTTCCCACTTGCTTGCCCTCAAAATCAGCATTAGAAGGTTCAGATTTTCCACTTTCACAGCTCCAAACTTCGATAGAAAAGAGAACTGAAAAGAAAGTGCAAAAGGAGAAGAGAAAGACAGTCCACGTCATCAGAAAATACTTGCCATCTTTGATTGCCACTTGTACAAAGTAACTGGTGTAAGGTTAACTTAACCATGGAAGGTGGTTACTTCTGAATCCAACTTCATGTCCACTGGTCCCAACTTCTAGGCCCAACCCAGTACAATAACCCATTACACGCATCACTTCACTCCTATATATCTAAACCTCAAAGTTACACGCCATTGGTAAATCCCACTCTCTCTCTAAACATCATACATATATCCCCTCTCTCTCTTTCTCTCTCTAGATATTCCTCTCTTTCTCTCTCTAGATATTCCTGTTTAGTTCCATCAACAGTAGCAGAGAGTTGCAGAAGCTGAGAGCAGAAACTTGGCAGAGGACATATATCCATCAGTTAGTTATAAACGGTTTTCTATACCCATTTTACCCTTCTTTTCCTTTTAAATTTAGTTTTGATTGCCATTGACTCTCCCATCAAAACAACCTCCATTTCTGGATCTGAAACAAACTAGGCTTCTTCACATCTCAGCTCAACCACCATGATTTCTTGGAACGATCTTTACACCGTCTTAACGGCTGTGATTCCGCTCTACGTTGCCATGATCTTGGCCTACGGCTCAGTCCGGTGGTGGAAGATTTTCTCTCCCGACCAGTGTTCCGGCATCAACCGGTTCGTGGCAATTTTCGCCGTCCCTCTCTTGTCCTTCCACTTCATCTCCCAGAACAACCCGTACGCCATGAACTTCCGCTTCATTGCTGCCGATACCCTCCAGAAGATCATCATGCTCGTAGTGCTCGGCATCTGGACCAAATTCACCAAGAACGGCAGTCTCGAATGGATGATTACGATATTTTCTGTCTCTACACTGCCCAACACTCTGGTCATGGGTATCCCGCTCTTGATCGCCATGTACGGCGACTACTCCGGCAGCCTCATGGTTCAGGTGGTGGTGTTACAGTGCATTATCTGGTACACTCTCCTCCTGTTCCTGTTCGAATATCGCGGCGCGAAGATGCTCATTATGGAGCAGTTCCCGGAGACCGCCGCGTCCATTGTCTCGTTCAAGGTCGGGTCCGACGTCGTCTCGCTCGACGGACAAGACTTTCTGGAGACGGACGCCGAAATCGGAGATGACGGGAAGCTTCACGTGACAGTGAGGAAGTCGAACGCGTCGAGGAGATCTCTCGGTCTCGGGCCGGGTTCGTTCTCGGCATTGACTCCTCGGCCGTCGAACCTCACCGGAGCAGAGATTTACAGCTTGAGCTCGTCGAGAAACCCGACTCCGAGAGGTTCAAATTTCAATCACTCCGACTTCTATTCGATGATGGGTTTTCAGGGGAGGCTGTCAAACTTCGGTGCGGGTGATTCTTATTCGGTTCAATCGGCGAGGCCATCGAATTGCGAAGAGAACTGCCTGCCCGTAGGTCAGAATATGAGCTCACCGAGATTCGGATTCTATCCGGCTCAGACGGTACCCACTTCTTACCCGGCACCGAATCCTGAAATTTCGTCCACTGTTTCAAAACCCGCCAAAAATCAACCACCGCCGCCGCCACAACAACCACCGCAAAACACGTCGCAGAGTAAAGCCAACCATGATGCTAAGGAGCTTCACATGTTTGTGTGGAGCTCAAGTGCGTCGCCTGTCTCGGAGGGCGGCGGCCTCCACGTACTCGGCGCTGCGGCTGATTTCAGTGCCACCGAGCAATCAGGACGGTCCGATCACGGCGCCAAGGAAATCAGGATGTTGGTTTCCGATCACCCCCAAAATGGGGAAGCTAAAGGTACAATTCACTTAAAATTGTCATTCATTAATTGAATATTTTATAATATATATATATATATATATATATTATATAATTTTTTGATATGTTTGTGAATTATATTTCAAAGCTGTTCCGGAAAGTGAGGACTTTGGTGGGGAAAACTTCAGCTTTGGAGGTGGTGGCAGAGAGGGAGATGATGAGAGAGGAAAGGAGGGACCCACTGCCCTCTCAAAGCTGGGATCCAGCTCCACTGCTGAGCTGCACCCTAAACTCACCTTAGGTCATGACTCCGGTGCCGGAAAACAGATGCCTCCGGCGAGCGTTATGACCCGTCTGATCTTAATCATGGTTTGGCGTAAGCTTATCCGAAACCCCAACACATACTCCAGCCTCATTGGTCTAATTTGGTCTCTCGTCGCATTTAGGTAAGCAAATTAAAATTTTGAAACTTAATTGTTTTAATTTTTTTTTTTTTTTTTAATTAAAAAAGTTCACTTTTGTCACTTTACATTGCAGGTGGAATGTGGCAATGCCAAAAATAATAGTGAAGTCAATTTCTATACTATCTGATGCTGGTCTTGGAATGGCTATGTTCAGCTTAGGTGAGTGGTCATATTTCATGCCCTGGTGTTTACCATCTTAATATAAACATTAGTTATCCAACTCTGGAATCTAATAACATTATTATACCATAGTTGGTGTTAATTTTTATATTAACATTGTATATATATACAAATATACATTTTTTTATACACATAGTCATAGGGTGTGCATGCAACATATTCACATCGTGTTTCATGTGTTATTACATCACTAGTGCAAATGTAGTTGTTGTATAAAAAATGTGAAGTTATTATAACGACACAGAGCCACAAAACGTGGCGCAAAATAAAAATAAGATGTTACAGAGATCCCAATTCTTAAAAGAAATCGGTTATAGATAGCTAGATTGACCACACGACCAGTGAGAACGCTAGTAATGTCAATAGTGGTCCCAACTGTGTCGACATCCGAACCTAGAAGCACAGAATGGCAAAGATAGTTGAAAGTTGAAACTAAATTGATTACTGTCGTTTTGGGTTGTCTGATTGAATTGTTGTTACGGTTGTGAAATTAAGGTCTGTTTATGGCTCTTCAACCTAAGATAATCGCATGCGGGAACTCAGTGGCCGCGTTTGCCATGGCCGTAAGGTTCCTCACTGGCCCAGCAGTAATGGCTGCAGCCTCCATTGCTGTTGGCCTGCGTGGTGTGCTCCTCCATGTCGCAATTGTACAGGTACCAATTTCCTTTCACTTTATATATGTAGGTTTATGTCCCATAACATGAATCTTCCATATCAAACTCTATTCACATAATATGATACATTTCACCTGTACACACACATATACATACATACATACATATATATATATATATATATATATGTATGTATGTATGTATATATGATTGAAAGCACTTATAAAGTTATCTGACATATTCTTATCAATAGGCTGCACTTCCACAAGGGATTGTTCCATTTGTGTTTGCCAAAGAATATAATGTCCACCCGCAAATTCTTAGCACTGGGTAAGTGAAACTTTACCCCCAAAAAAAATATTCAAACCAATTAATTTACTATTAATTTTTTTTTTCTAATTTTTTTTTTTTTTTTTTTTTTTTTTTTTTTTTTTTTTTTTTAAATATTGCAGGGTTATTTTTGGGATGTTGATAGCTTTGCCAATAACTCTAGTCTACTACATTGCTCTTGGATTGTGAGGATTATTGTGAAGCAACCAACCAAAATACCTAGAGGAAATAAAATAATATTGAATGTTGGATGTTTGTCAAGCTTCGATGCATCGATGGCTGCAAATATTGTATTAACTAGCCGTGGATTTGAAGACGATAGAGGGTGATTAAGCGAAGAATTTTCGAAGGATTCGAGAGATTTGGTGCACATATTTTTGACTTGGTGAAGCCCTAATTGGAGGATCATGCCCCCATTTAAAGTAAAGGCATGGCTACTTCAACAAAAAGAAAGAGGGATCGTCTTGTAGAAGGGGGACAAAAGAAGAGGAAAACAGGGAAAAGAGAAGTGCTCATTAATTTAATTTGTATTCTCTTTTTATAATATAATGTAAAGTTTTATTTGAAAATTCACTTTGGTAGATTATAATGGGACAACATCAACTGATTTACGTCAGTGATATAGAACGGAAGGAAGTATCTCCTTCTTATTTTGTTCTTATAAAATCTTTTCTTTCATTATCTCTTAACGAACATAATAAATTATGAATTTTTTTTTTCTTCAATTTAATAGAACAAAAAGAAAAAATTACATAATCTATTCTTTTGAGATACCTTATTCATTCCGTCCATCCATTTATTTTTTTTCTTCAAGCATTAATGTTACTTGTTCTTTGATACCGATTTTTCGTTTGTCGTATTCTCTTTACTTTGCTTATGTAATTACTTTAGAGTAGTTTTAGATCATCAAAAGGGTTTAATCATACCGTTATGTAATTTTAACTTTTTAAAAAGTTAAAGAAATCACTCTGAACTTAAAATCAGCACGATATACCATAAAGACGATATGAGGGATCATAAGTTGTCTACTGCAGTGTAGCGCAACGCGTCTATTTAATGGTTCCGAGAACTCTTTCCATCTAAAATACCTTTGGGATCAGATTGGGGGATTTGTGAAAGCACAGTATCTTTATAAATGCTTAATGGGTTTAAGTACTTTTTAGTAGAGAAGTCATGGGGTTGAGAGAAATGTGAGAAGAAGAAAAGCGGAAAGCAGCTGAGAAAACGTGAGATGTGAAAAAGGAGAAAGCAGGTGGAAGTCAAAAGTTGAGGACTTTTGCTTTTAGGCTTTTGAAGTGCCCACAACTCTAGGTATACCCTACACACCAAGAGCCGTCAATCAAAAAGTAGGGGATGTGTACTGTGTAGTAGTGAGTGGTTCGTTCAATTGAGAGGCCATCTTTATTTGGGAAATTGCTACCACGTGATCACAGTCACTTCCATTCAATTACCAAACTTATCACAAGACATCACCTTAAAGACTGTCCTCCATCATTCAAAACCGTGAGTGTGTGTGTGTATACACACACTATTTACACACACATATGCTGTCTCAAATAAATAGATTAATAAGTCAACAGAATAAATGCATTTTATGTGTCAAGGAATTGAATTTCTGTAATTTTACTTTTTATTTTATTCGGGAAAAAAATTGAATTTTATGTTGGTTGAGGAAACATCATGCTCGACATCTACTTTTTACACATATCTCACTTTTTTGTGTGGATTTAGCTAAGAAAAATAAAGTACAACTTTTTTTTTGTTAATTCTTTCTGTAAAATAATAAATTAGTACTTTTAGTTTTCACTTAATCGGATTAGAATCGAGTTTAAAAGTTAGTACCAAATTTACTTCTAATCTGTAGTAATTATATTTGTTAAATATTTGTTTATTAAATTTGATAATTAATTTTTAAAAAATAATGTAAGCATTCAAATGTCATTATTATGACGTTATTTCTTATTTATATAAATATAATTTAATGTGTTATCATAATCTTAATTTTTTTTGGTAAAACTAATTTTGAAGTGTGATCGCTCCATAACTTTCAAATACATTCAAGTCATCATATTACATAAATATAATGAAATGTGTTTGATTTTAGTTTTAATTTTTGGTAAAATCAATTTTGAGAAAGGGAAAACACGTTTGGTGTCCATTAAAGGGGAACATACGCAATACACTACCATATCACTTCGTAACAGAGGTGTCCACACGAGCGGGTCGGTTGAACGATCCGGTTTAGAGAACCGATAAGATAAGGGAACTTGTTAATTCATGGTGTTAAAGACTGTTTTATCCAGAACTTTTGACAAATGGCTCGGTAACTAATTGGACTGTTCCGGCAAGGACAAAGGGTGGTTTTTGTAAAATGAGCAATGGCATTGGTCCAAGTTTTTTACTTTTATGGTTGAGCAAAAAGGGCGGGCATTGGACCGACCATTAAAAATATGGGAAAACCAACATACCTCGCAAGAAGAAAGCGACTGGTTGATGCGCGTTACGACGTCCCGAGTCGACGGCCGAGTACGGAGTCTCACATGGTTTGTAGGAGCATCCGGACAAAACGTCTATATAATACCATCAATATATATATATATATATATATACATAATTATGGTTGTTAATGTGAGAGAAACATATATTATAAATTTACATCAAAACTCGAAAAGGTAGAAAACAATAAACAAGTTTAAAGGACTACATACCTGACATACATTAATTGAGGTTGTAAGTGTTAGAGTTTCTTATCCCAGGACGAATGTGATGAAGGAGGAGGTCGTAAACTTATAATGCTACGTAAAGATATGTTTTTATATATTTTTTTCGTTCTAAAAAAAAAATTGTTATGTTTGGAGAACAGTAACTCACAAGAGAGAAATATATATTATAAATTTACATCAAAACTCGAAAGGTAGAATAATAAATTAGTTTAAATGAGTACTTTAAACTAAGTGTTAAGTTTTTTGTCGCAGGTTGAATGTGATGACAAAGGTCGTAAACTTATAATGTTATGTAAAGATGACATGTTTTCTTATGAGTCATAGTTCTTCAAACATAACACTCTTTTTGAAATGGAGAGAATAATTAATTATCAATTTAACTAAATCCATTCAAAATTTTATGTTAAGCGAAGAAAGACGTCACGATAATATCATCCGTTTATTTATGTAAATTAGTCGTATACATTCAACTTTCGAACTACGCATCATTATTCTTATCCTTTTTTCAGTGTGATTTATCTCCTTTGCATTTTTTGATTCTCAAAGCTAATATAGCTCCCAACGTACATTGTATTTGAACCCTAAGAGGATAATCTCTAGATTTCCATGTTTTGGGCTTGCTCTCTATTGTACTTTGCCCTAGAGACACTATGGTCCCTTTCAATGTCTCACCATTATGCTCTTATTTTCGTACACCATCTGTCCTTTGAAAAAAACGAAAAAAAAAAAAGAAAAAAGAAAAAGAAAAGAAATTAACATCCTATTATTCAATCCACATTAAAACCCGAACATCATCATTTCACTGTTTTTACTTTTGAAAATTAAGTAGTTAAATTAACTATTCATTATTAGACTTTCAAAATGTCTCTATTTTAGATTGAAACAAACATCTAAAATAGTCAATGTGTTAGGGCATTGATGGTCTTTGTCTTTGAATACCCTTTATTCGCATTGACCAACAGAAAAAGAAGGAACAGTGACCGTTGGATAAAGATCGGACGATTAATATATCAATCAATATTATAACACGAAAAGTGTATGAGCATGGACCGGATCCACGTGTCACAAGCTAGTTTAACGTAAACAATGGTATTGGGTCTGGTCCACGTGGTGGTAAATCATAATCGTACACACAGTTGAAGATCGACTCACAACGTACGTGGCCAAAGCTTGCATTGAGTGGTCCATGTTCATGTGCATGCCCATACCATGGTCATGTGGTGGTAATTAGGGTTTTGAAAATGGTGATTGGAGCCAAACATGGCGTTGTAGTGTGTATTATTGCAGGTGGGGTGCAGTGAGAGAAAGGAAGGTTGGAGAAGATAGGATCCAACTCAAGGTAGGGACTATATGAGATGCAAGTTTGGCAGAGGGTGTGGACTTTGCAGTTACTCTTTTTAGTCTTTTTTATTCTTTGTAAACAAAGCTATATATATATATATATATATACACACACACACACACACACACATATATGGACCCATGCATTTTGAAATTAACTACTCCTAGGTCCCACATTTTTGCAGAGTTTCAACCTAGCTAGGGTATGTTTGGGTGGTTTACCCACAAAAAGAAAAAAAAAAAAAAAAGAAAAAAAAAAAGAAAAAAGAGAGGAGGGGTATGTGAGGTTGATATGAGAGAATGACAAGGATTGGAATCTTTTAATACATGGTTTTATGAGGATTCTTGGTCTTCTATGAAAAATGTTCCATTTGGAAAAAATTTGCAGAAAATTCCATCAATATCCATTTATTGAAGTAATTAATTATGATTTACATCGAACCCGGATGTGTAATAGTATTAATTATTTTAAAAAAAAAATATTACGAACCAACCGTTGCGTAGACCATGCTATTGCATAATAAAGAAGAAAGGAAAACGTTTGCATTAAAAAGTAATAAAGCCCAATCTATTGGCTTTATTTTGGATATTTGTGTGTTTATTTTGCAAAGCATCGATAGGGTCACATGTGAGGAACCAGATAATGTGGAAGGTTGTGAACATGTGAAGGGTCTGCATCATTGAAATATACAAGATTAACAAATTATATAAGCTAAGAACTATCAATTTCATACAAAAGTTTTCGTTAATTTTTATAATCAATGTTAAGGAACCTAATGCCTGCTAATACACGTACATGAAAAATACATATACATATATATTATTATCCTAATCATGGAACATTAGAGGGCTTATTTAACAATGATATTTTCGAACTAGAGGAAGAGCACAGGTCGACGTCGGCCCCGTGTGCGTGGCTTTATTCTCCCTCTCGCGCGGGGACCATGCCTAATCAATTAGATGATTCGGTTTAGCAAGTAATTCCAAGAGGGTTCTTTAAATGAATTTGTTACCAATCATGCAGTGCATGCATGGGAGGACTTAACTAAGTCATCTTTATCATACTTCTAATTTTATACTTAGTAGAGTTGGTCACATGAATTTTTTGTCTTCATTCTTTTTATTATATATTTTAAATTTTTTAAAATTATTTTTAATACATCTCATTTTTATTTTAAGGATAAACTATGCTGACCTCCTTTAAAATTTGACTCCCCTAAATCCGTTCGCCAACTACCAAAGGTTGACTTTGAATATGAAAAGACAATAATACCTGGATTTTCATATAAAGGAAGGGTAAAATGATCATTTTATAAAATTTGATCAACAAGTTTGATAGAAAGAATCGTTGAGCACTCGTGGCAAATCTCAAGGTCAAAATAATAAAGACTAAACGATTTACTCATATGAAGTTTGTCCAAATCTTAAAAAAAGAATAGTGTTAAGTATCCTGCTGGTATACACGAATGGAATGGAATGAGAATGAGAATAGAATAGAATGATCATTCTCATTCTATTATTTGGTTGTAAATATGAAATGAGTATGAATGAAATAATAATATTACCATTCTAGTATTCGGTGGCAGTGAAAGGCAATGGAGGTGGCAGTGGTGGTGG